AGCGTAAAAGGGTTAAATGCTGAATCATTAATGGCTTTTGGCTTGATGGGCTTTTTAGCTGATGGAAGCTAAAAAGCTGAACTCCTACAAAGTGAATGTCAGTTAATGATAGCTCTGCATGGAAGAAGAGAAGAAAAATGATTCTTTTATGTGAGATATTGTTACATAATTTTTGTCTGATTGTAACGTAGAAATATCATGGCCATCAGCAAAGTAAATGAGAATTATATTTTAGTTCAGTTGAGGCATACTAGATATGCTATTAAGATAGGAAGAAATGGGAAAAAAAAAATTTGTTCTTCCCTTCCCCTCATCAAAGCCTTATAAAAACATTAGATTACTTCTCATTAAAATGTACCCATTTTAACACAGTACCTTATCTGTCGATCACTGGAACATTAGACAAAAAACTGTGTTTCAATTCTGGCTTCACCTCTACCAGTGTGTAGCTTTGTTTGGGTCACAATGATTTTGAGCCTCAGTTTCCTCATATACAGGGTTATTAACCCTTTTCTTGCAGCCCTATAAAGAGGAGCAGTGAGAAAGAATAACAAAGTACCTGGTACGGAGCTTGGAGTGGAGTAGATACACAAAACGTGGCTATCAGTATTATTCGTATTATTATTATTATGATGATGATGTCTATTTTGGAATTGTCTCAATTTTTATTTCGGTCTTATTTCCTTAAGCAGTCCAAAGTTACCATTTGTGTCAGCTATTTATTTGAAAAACCTAATTTTACTTTTTAGAATGACCTTTTCATGACTTAAAATCTCTTTAAATCGGACCCAGACCTTCAGCTAAATTAGGAAGTTGGTTAGATGACCATGTTAGTACATGGCAACAAACTCATACATATACTTAATTCCGCCCCTCCCACCCCCAATAAAAGCAAGTGATAACACTCCCGTTCCACCTGGCGGTACTTTTGGTCATCCAAAACAGTTCATTCCCACTGTCCACCATTCTAAGTGCCCCATCTGTCTTCCTTGTGACGTGTTGTGTATGAAGAACAGAGCACAGGATCAAGATATGAAGAACTGCAGCTTTTGACTGTTTGGATTTTGTCTCTGTTGTGATCTCACAGTTTTCTCTAAGCTTCAGTTTCCTTATCTGTCAAACGGGGATCTGAATCCCTCTTCTGAGTTTCTATCCGTCCACCTCAGCAGTGTCTGTAAGGACGAAAGAGCTCTGTAAGTCATGAATGCTATCAATGTATTAATGTAATAATACTATCAATGTGTTATTAACTAATAACGTCCACTCAGAAGCAACACTGCAGAGATCCGTATACTACGGATTCTTAATTAGGTAAATCTGCAGAAGCCACTGGTGGAAATGTCAAGAGAGGAGTGGTTTCGATGCATTGAAACACAACTCACATGAGCTTGAGGGTAATGCACTGGCTCACTTAACTAGGAATACAGAAGCACACAGAGACCACTCTGTTTCAGGCATGCTAATATCAAATGAAGTCTCCGTCTTGCTTGTGTTTTCCTCAATGTTTTGGTTTAATTTTCTTACCATGCGGACAGGCTTTTTCTCTATAGTGAATAAGAGGGCTGCTAACAACCTCTAATTTGTATTTTTCAAACTCTATGATCCAAAAAGGAAAGATAGTTTTTCCTCCACTTCCATGGGGGAAAAAAAACCCCAATATCCCAGGGAACCATTCTCAACTCAATGCTTGTAGTCAGAGAAATGGGGCTCTCTGAGTGGGCACACTTGGATCAAGAAGGCAGAGGTTGGGGATCGGCAGCCCACTAGAATTACACGACTCGAGTAAAGGAAGAACAGTTAGAACCATTCTCTAAAGGAAGCAAAAGGCCTGGGCAGACAAACGCGATAGCTATCACTGTAAGTGTGAGGGAGGGAAGGAGAAGAGAATTGTGAAGAGTCTTTATGAAATGCCCAAGGTCTTGTCACTAAACCAGCCACCCTCCTGTTTCAGATTTCTGGGACCATCCTCTCAGTTTGCCCAGGAAAGTCCTGTTTCATACCTGTTTTCCTGGCAAAATTATTAAAATCATCCCTTTTCATTCTCAATAGTGTCTCGGTTTGGACAATTAACTAGTCGTTGTAAATAAGACCAATTAGCACTTTGGCCTCAGGCACCCAACCTGTCTTAAATCACCCAGTTCCTTTGACTCAGATGAACTTTCATTTGAACTTCGATCATTTCTCCACATTCCCTTTTCCAACTCCAATGTCTGATACTCTACGTTTGAAGCTCTTCTCATGACATACATATTCTTAGCACCTTCTTCTCTTTTACTGGACACTTCGCATCCTCTCTCTCCTGGGAAGTCTTCTGGACTTTAAGCAGTGGTGAAGAAAGCCTCATAACCTGCTCGTCTGCTCAGAGCGCCTCTGGTAGAATTTTCCTCCTAGGAATCGCTCCCCATTAAATGTGCACTCACTTTCCAAATGGTGTAGTTTCAACCTGTGCTTTTTATTTCAGCCAGGCTGGCCTTAGGATTCCTGTTCTGTTGTAGGAACGATGGTGAATGGGGTAAAGGCGAGGCTGAAGAAAGCAACTAACATAGCTTCGGCGTGATGATGCCGAAGAAAAAACAATTCCTGGTGATGCGTTTGCCATCACCTCCTTCACAGACCAGCGAGGAAGGAAGCATCCTTTGTCCACGTGGCCAGCCACCTCCTGATTGTGGTTGTGTTGATCAGATGGAGGCAGCGAAGAGAATGAATGAAGCGGAAAGCAACCCAATTTCTGTCTGAGAAAGGATGACAGAGGGAAGGGGAACCAAGAGCCAAGGAAATGGGCGGGGGCAGTGCCGACGCCCTGTCCGCCCACAGAGGCCACCCCTCGTGCTTCCCAACAGAGTGGCGTTCCTCCCTGTTCTCATTCTGTGGCATGCAATGCGAGAAGTGCTCCCTGTAGCTGTGCAACTTGCCAGCCCTGGGATGGGGAGATGTCTGGCGTTTGCAGTTGAGGATTTGCTAAAAAGACACAGCTGCTGAGAAGTACTTTGGTGATACAATGAGTACAAAAAGGTTTGGGGAAAGTTTTTCATTCATTCAGCAAATAATATGTATTTTGTCCTGTGCTCTGTGCCAGGCACTGTTATAAACTCTGGGGAGATTATTATGGGGCCCTATGCAGCTGTTCATCTGTATCTTTTATCACAACCTTTAATGAACTTGTACTTGTTTTCTTTGCGCCTGTGAGCAGTTGTGGCAAATTATTCGAACTCAAGGATGAAGTCTTTGAAATCTCTGATTTGCGGCCGGTTGGTCAGAAGCACAGGTGAGAACCTGGGGTGAGTCTGGTGTCTGAAATGTGTTATGTAGGAGAGGGTAAGGAAGTCAGTCTTGTGGGACTGAGCCCTCAGCTTGTGGGATCTGCAGTTATCTCTGGATAGTTGAAATCTTGGTTGTTCAAGAATTGCTTGTTGGCATTGGGGAAAACCTCCACATATTTGGGGATGAGAAACGTCAGAAGTGAAGTGTTTTGTGTGAGTAGTAAAGGAGACACACAGGGAAGAAACACACAGTAGGTAAGAATGGGGTTTTTACCTACTCAGGTTTGGAAAGCTGAGTTTTTTCCATTGTATCTTCTGTAAGCACATAGCAGGGCACCCTGTTCTGGCAGAGCCCACATATTAGTGAATGGGGACAGATCATAATTATAATAAAACAAATTAGAAAGCATTTTGGGTGATGACAAGCATTATGGAAAAAATAGAGAAGGTAAGGGGGATCTGGAGAGCTGGAGTTCAGGGAAGGTGGTTGCAAATTTAGAAAACAAGCAGTCAGAGTAGGCTTCAGAGAGAAGGTGACGTTTGAGCAAAAACTTGGAGTTGATGGAAAGAACCGGGAAATATCTGGTAGAAAGCCTTCTGAGCAGGGCGAACAACCCATGCAAGGTCCCTGAAGTGGATGTGTGTCTGGTATGCTCAGAAACAGCAAGGCCAGTGTGGCTGAAGGTAGTGGGGGAGGTGTGGAGCAGGAGATAAGGGGAGAGTGTGTGGGGAGCAGGCACGTGATACAGGGCTTGCTTAGAGGTCATTTAACTGTGAGAGAAAAAGGAGACCTGGGCTCCCTAAGCTATAATTGCATCATTGCCTAATGCATCTTGATGGAGATTATGCAATATGATACCTGCAAAACGTCCTCCATATTTGTTTCCTTTTTAATGTGACTCAGTGTTAATTCTTCGTACATTCGTTCAGGTTACAGTGGGCTCTGCTCACAGTATAAGGCCTTCCACATAGAGGCACATGTTGAATGAATGAGTGAACAAATGAGGCTGGCATTTGAGCCCCTCCGTGTAGGTCCTCAACTTGTCATTTCAATTTTACTGCTCCCCCATCCTTTCATAACTTGGGTTCTGTTCAGCTGTCTGCTGTTTCAATGATCTATTTCTGCCTCTATCTTTGCTTACCTCATTTTCCTTTACATGAAATGCTCTCCCCAAATCTCCATTTGATTCAAATTCTAATGATTGTTAAAGACCCAGGACAAGCTCCACTTCCAGCCTCTCAGGCCTTCACCGCCTTTCTGAGCTCCTATAGCATCATTCCCCTGATACCTTTCATTGATGTAATCTGTTTTGTGGCAGAACACTGTTTGAACTCTTTATGTGTTAGGCAACTAACACATAAATGAATGCTAGCATCTTAGGGAGCCATACCTTTCATTGATGTAATCTGTTTTGTGGCAGAATTTTTTGGCGTTTATTTCAAAAACACTGTTTGAACTCTTTATGTGTTAGGCAACCAATACATAAATGAATGCTAGCATCTTAGGGAGCAACTTTTTACCTTTTTTGTTTTATAGAAGCTAACTGGATAAGGGAGATTCAGACTTGGCTGATCTCATGCAGATTAATAAGCAAGGAGTGTACCGGCACCAGGACCCAGTCGTACCTCAGTTAAGCAATAGTCATTGTCCTTTTATTTACAAAAGGGTTAACCTAGCATTTCCTTTCCACAACCTGTTAACTCCACCCACTTCCCAGAGCTTTAAAAGCGGCTGCAGCCTGGGAAGCGTGTCCCTCTCGGGATGCCGTAGTTACACACCCTCCGCGGCTAGGCCCTGGGCCAGCATGGCGGCCTCCGAGTCCGTCGCGGCTGTCATTCCAGGCACCGTGGAGGGCGAGGAGGAGACGATTCTTTACGACTTGTTGGTCAACACCGAGTGGCCCCCGGAGACAGAAGTGCAGGTGAACCAGGCCCCTCTAGAGCCGCGGCCAGCTCGGCGCAGACGCTGCCGTGGCAGAGCCACGTAGCAAGAGCCACGTAGGGGAGTGGAGCCGGGCGGGCGGGGGCGCAGGGCTCGGCGGCTTCTGCGGTTGCCCTGGCAACGGCGCCAGGGGCAGGCGGGGGTCTGGATCCCCTAGGCCGGGGGTTCCCGAGATTCCTCCCAGGCTCCGAATTCGGTGATCGCCGGGCAGAATCTCGGGCTCCAGGGCACGTACCTTCCCACTCCGTTTCGCTGCGGGCACTTGGAGGGGAGTCACAGCGTCGGACTCCACGTCCTCGTATCCCTGGATTCTCGCGGGTCCCTTTTCGCGGGCCGGCGAGGGCGGATCCTCCTCATCTGCAGCGGGAGAGTTTTCCGGAACCCAAAGTCAAGGCAACACCTGGCGGGCTGCCGCGGAGCGCGGCGTCGAACCCTCACTCCGACTCGGAGCTGAATCGCGCCAGTTCTTTTGCATTTCAGATACTGAGCCAGTGGATGGGCACACAGAGGTGAATGACTGTCGTGGTGCGTGCCGTCTAGAGGGGGACAGCCCAGTAAACATTTCTCATCACCTAGCATAACATACGCTGTGATAGTGGTGTGAGCAAAATGCCTTAGGAGTGAAGAGTAAGGAGCTACTAAGGTTGGGTTGTCTGCTAAAGAAGGGGTTGTAGGGATTGGTGACCTGAAATGGACCTTGGGGCTCTCAGTTCCCTAGACAGGGCCTCCCAGGCACAGGATGAAGAGTAGGAGCCAGCAATCCACATTTATCCAGCAGGTATTTATTGAGTATCTAACATCTGCCATTTCCTGTTTTAGATTCAGAAAACGCAGCAAGATCGAAAATGACTTTTAATAAAGATCATGGCGTCCAGCCCATATAAATTCTCTTTTACAGCATCTTCTTAAGGTTTCTTTGTTGGAGAAACGACTCATTCTCTCTCTCATTCTCCTATAAAGTTGGTGGTTTTTCTTTAACTTCCTTCCCACTGCAGTTTCTGCTTGTCTTGAATAAAGTATTTTGTAGGCTGGCAGAGATCTGCACATAATTTTGTTTTTCAAGTATTTTAGTTTCTGTTTGTTTTAAACAGTGTATTTTGTAGGGTTAGGCAGCCAGGAAGCGGTTGCTGCTGCTAGTTGGATAAGGATAAGTTTCCACTCATTAGCACTCACTGGTGAATTACGGTATGTTTCAGAATGCTTAACTAATTCGATTTAAAAAATAAGCCTAGCATCAACTTACATTGAAAAGTCGTGGCACTTTTTTTGGTTCTGTTGATTTCAGCTGTTGAACTACAGGCTCTTAGAAGCAGATGATCAATCAACCCACGTTTGTTTTGTGAAATGACTTTTCTGTTTTAGAGCCATATGTGTCTGCACTTAACTGTGTGTCTCTTTCTTAACAGCGCATTAGTACATCTTACTCTTTTGTAGTGCCTAGTGTTTAGCCTACACAATATTTAGTCTATACTTAAGGAACTATTTAATGTAGCACTTGTATATCGGTGTGTGTGTTAGTAGCATTTTCTCTGTGGTTATACAACATTCAGTACATTTACCTTAAGACATGAGCTTATGAATCTACATGACCCCTTTTCCTGCAAGCAAAACTTGTTTTAGGCCTCTGCAGCCCACCCAACTGAGCTGAACTGCGACCAGTGAGGTCTTTGCCTGTGACTTCTGTTTGGACCGGTGTCCTGGTTTTAAAGTTTTCAGCCTCAACCCTTGTTCTCCCCTGCACAATTCATCTTCACAAATACCTGTAACTCCGTTATGCTCACGTTTACTCCCTCTTTTCCTAGTTCTGCCTCTACTTGTTTCTATCTATAAGTAGTTTTTAAATACTGTTAACTTGTATCCGGTGTTCCGAGTATTAACAAAGAAGTATAACTTTACATATTGTGTAAGGATTACCAGGAAATTCTCAAGTATAAGTTTTCTTTTTTCAATTGCAGCCTAGAGGCAACCGAAAACATGATGAGTCTTTTATCATCACAAAAGCAATTAGAGGTAAATACAGCTTATTTACTTTTCTACATATAAAGATACAGTCAGAAGATAATCCCCCCTCCCCGTTTCATTCATAACTGTGCTATTTTAGAAAGTTTAGAGATTTTAAAGTTTGTTCTTTAGACTTCTAATGTAGAGCCTGATAAAAGCAGAGCATACATGTTACTCGAGTTTAATTTTATATATGTATATATTTTAATTGTATGATGTATGATGTGTACATACACACACACACACACGCGCACACACGCACGTTTTTCATGCAGCTTAGAGCTAAGGTGTGGCCCGAGTTTAATCATTATGGATGTATTCTATGAGAAATGAAGAAAATCCAATCCAATCTGAGTCTCAGAAAGTATGGATGTTGAAGGTGAAAAGAGAGTGACAGGCTCTTTTAAGTGGTTTACATGATGTTTCAGGTACATCTGGTCAATTACAAATTCGATTAACCAGGGCATTCATTAACTCCTGACAGTACATTTGAGCTCACAGGATGAGGAGGTATCAAGCACTAGCCACATTAAGCTGGTGCTGTGAGGACTTTACATTAATTGATGTCAACCCTTCCCAGACCAGTTGTAAGTTTCTGTTTTTAGGTGAGGAAACTTGCTCAAGATTATTCATTCATTTGGAATTTGACTGCATGTCTTTTCTGGTTCCAAAGCCTACCCTGGTTATACTGGTAAATTTGAGCTACTTTTAAAGAGAGGATTCAGATTCAAAAGAGTTGAGTACTTGAAATTATAATTTTATCTCCTGAAATAAGAAGCATTAGCACATTCAATTTTCATTATTACAAATGCTTTGAAAGTTTGAAAATTTAGAAAATGTACTCAAGTAATCGAATTTATTGTAGAAAATTCAGAGAATATAGAAAATCATGTTATTCTTCGCTTTGCCACCCAGAGATCATTTGTTATCCTTTAGACCTTCTTCTAGTGATACACATCTAACTGGGTACATATGTTCACACACACATATATTTTAAATGGAATCATATAAAACATTTGTCAACAGTGTTAGAGATTTCGTTTTCCGTGGACCTCCCCATTTTTAGATAGTGTTATTTAATCTTTGCTGTAAAGTGTAAAATGGTATCTTAATTTTTATTAAAATACTTGGATCTTCTTTTTTTTTTATGCCTACAGCACCTGGTCTTCCTAGGTGGTCTCCCATCCAAGTACTAACCAGGCCCGACCCTGCTTAGCTTCCAAGATCAGATGGGATCGGGCTTGTTCAGAATAGTATGGCTGTAGACAAAATACTTTGGTTTTAAAGGATGATTACTATGATTTCTACTCCATGATTTTCTTTAAAGCCTCTTTGGTGAAATTTGCATCTTAAATCTCTTTTACTTTTTGTACTGTTAGGAAGTACTTCACAATTTTCAATATACACATTTTTAATGTAAAAAATATCTTATAAAAGCTATTAGGTGCATTAGTGTGCATATTTATTCTCTTAAGAGTTGAATTCTGTGTTTCGTTTTGTAATGAATCAGTCTACAGTATATTTTAGACTTATCAGTAAATTTAATTTGAAAAATGATTTCTAAAGAACAGCTGATTCATATTTGACTTTGCCATTTTTATTACAGATCGTTTATTATTTTTACGCCAATACATCTGGTACAGGTGAGTTTTTAATTCCGAGAAACTGTGAGCATCAAAGACAAACAGTATCCTATATGTGACTTAAGTTTTTGGAATTGAATTGTGATATAGATGCTGACATTTAGGTGAACCCAGTTTATAACACATTTCAAACATTTGGCATACTGTGGCAGGATATCTTAGTAGATTTAGGATAATTTTTGTTCACTTAGTCATTATCAGAAATATCTGACAGCTGCTTTCTCTGATGAGCATTCTCAGCCTTATCTTGAATGTCCACATGATGGATCTGTAGCTTGCATATCTTTTAAAAAACAAAAAAACTTTTTGTTCTTATTGTCGTATCACCTCTCGGGGCTGGTATTCAGTTGTTGTGCATCAGAGAAGGCTCTTTATGTTTCAGTTCTTGGATACTTTTATATTCTTTTGAGTGTTAAGTGTTTTCAGGCACAGTCCTAATTTTGAGCCCTATAAGGAACAAAGAAATGATTATTCTGACAAAGGATATAATTCAGCTGTTAAGTAGGAATTTAGATGTTTTATTTAGATATATTTTATAGAATTGTTTATAGATAGATTTTTCTTGTGGACATCTAATCGTAAGAGCCCCAGAGATAATGTAGTTTTATGAAAGAGACCTTTGGCTCTTCTTTAGAAGCAGCTCCAATGTTTTCTGCTGTGTGTGTGTGTGTGTTTGTGTGTGGTTTTCATGATTAGATTTTAAGTTAGCTAATATGTTGTGGTTTCAGCCCTGCACCTTTTTTGCTCCCTGATGGACTGGTTCGCTTGGTTAATAAACAGATAAACTGGCATATGGCCCTTGCAAGGTAAGGATGTATAAAATTCATATAATGTGTCTCTACCTGAATTAGCATTTAGCTTTCATTATGGACATTAATTTTGGGGTCCTTATGGCTTAGTCTTTTTATTATATATAAATTTCCTTTGACACACATGATTAGTATTGTTTAAATGTTAATTTGAGCTGTATTGAATCTTTTTTATGCTTTTGCGCCTATATACTAATCTCATTCTTAGGTCAGAAGGTGGATAATTAAAGCATGTGAAAAATTTAAAAATGATGTTAACTTCTTAAAATAATTCCATCTATGTGGAAGATGCTACAAATAGTCATAAAGCAATTTTTTTTTTTTTCCTCTTCCCTGTGATAGCAACGGAAAGCTTCTGGCTGCTGTGCAAGATCAGTGCGTGGAGATCAGGTAACTGTTAAAGGTCATTAAAAATTTCCTTTGAGAAACATTTTACTTGATTGATGAGAACTAAGAGTTTTTTAAAGGGGCATATTTAAAGGGATTTTACTGTTAACTCACATAATTTTGTGAGGTGTCAGACACCAATTTTGCCAATTAAAGGATGAAGGATACTTTCTCAGAGTGGCATGTTTGTCTTTCCATTTCCCCAGATCTCTTTCTCTTGAGAAATTTTACTTTCTCAGATGATGCATATCTTCTAGAACTCTGGAAATCACTCTTATTTGACTATTGTGAAGTCAGCTGAGCGGATGCTCAGGAAGGTATAAAAAAAGTAGGGGCTGCTTTACTCTTGGCATAAAGCTGTGGTAGGACTCTGGGTTTACAAAAAACCAAGATTATTTATATCTTGGGACCAGCAACAGCCTCTGTCCTCTTGAGACAGTCAGTGGCATTGCATACACATCTGGAAGACTTCTCCAGGCTGGGCTTTCCAGGTACTTTATTTTTAAGTAATGCATCAGTTGCAAAAGACGTAAAACTATAGCAACTAAGGAAAACGAGTTCATTCTTTGGGAAATCAGCAACAGCAGACGGCACATGTGGCCCCTCTAAAACTGGGGACTACTCCTGTCTCCAGGCAAGGCCGAACTCTTAGTTCTCAGAAAATAAGCAATGAGGCAGAAATTTCCAGGTGCCTAGATAACCAGTCAAAAGGTTTTTCTGCTACTTTATTATTCTCGACTATAAATAGTGTAGATGAGAATTCAGTTATCACTGGTTTTAGCTTTCTGTTGAAGTTTCTTTTTTCCTCCATTTATCCAAACAGAATTGGACCCCTTAACTTTTTGGGGAGTAGACAAAGGGTTTGCCCCCATTGATGCATAGACTTCAGATGGGGATCCTCCATTATTCCTCTTAAGACCATTGGGATAGAAATGATTGGCCATAGTGACAGCCTTTCAAAACTATCTAACTTGGCATGGCTTTAATAGGCAGGTTTCTCTTTTTTAACAGCGTCATTAAGCATCAGGTTTGCACAGTAATCGAACTTATATTATTTATAGGAATGGGCTAGCATTTCCTATTCCATTTATTGCAGTAATGTGAAATGTCTCTTTTTGAGAAATGTGTTCATGATGTGACTTCTTTATGAACAACACCGAATAGTCAAAATTTATTTCCATCTTTTCCCTGTAAAATGAGAACATTAATGAAACGATTTGAGGTGTTGGGCTCAGGGTATGCATGGAGGTATGAAATTGATATTTAGGCCTGTGAAGGAGAGTTTGACCAAGGGTTTCATGGAACTCGCTAATAAAAATTTTAATGAAAGGAATAAAAATTATTTGCTTTTAAAAAATGATGTACTGGGTTGTTAGAGTGCTTTATAAAACGATATTTATAAAACTTGGATGTATATCCATCTCATGCATTCGATATTAAGTAGTGAGAGGAGAAGTCTGGGCGATGGAAGTGATGCTCACGACGGTCTTATTCAGCTGGTCTGGAATTTGCAAAAGCTTCATAATGTTAGTATAAAGACTCACATTCTTACGTGGTGAGACGTTAACTCCACCAGGAAGCCTTCCCTGAACATACCCCATAGCGCTTATGGACCCCCCGTTTCCTTTATTGGTTAGTCAATTCTTTATGCTCCTCTAATAATCAACACATTTCTATATTATACTTAATGATAAGATAATGCTAACATGTGTTAACTCATTTAATCCTCGCAGAAGCCCTACAAGGGAGATATTGCTATTTTCCTCTATTATAGAGGCAGGCGCTATATGATTAAATAACTTGCCCAAGGATTTGAAATCAGCCCGGCTTTGAACCACAAAGCTGTACTACCTTTCGACCATTTATGCTTGTATGGTGACATGCAGGTGTCCCACAGTAATTTAGGGCCCTGCTTTGCACTAGTCCAGGGTGTGCCATGCAACTAAAACCCAGTGTTCCTGGGGGTCTGGAGTCTGCAGCCCCACTTATACTGTGCGTTCCTTGGAGGCAGGGATTGCTTTTTTCTTTTAACACTTTATATTCACTGGAACATAATAGATGCTTAGTTTATGGTTGATGAATAAATGGAGTGTTTGCAAATAGGACAGGGGAAGCAGGTGCTGGGAGGGCGTTACAGGGCATAGCCCACTGACGAGCTTAGAGCTGGCAGTCGGTTGCTTTTGTTGAGTGAATCTAGACACACACACTTGACAGTGACCTGAATGGAAGTGTCCTTGAGCAAAGATGGTGGAATGGTCAGCACAGAAAAAGGGCAAGGTGGATTCCAAAAGTAAACCCTGGGACAAGTATCGGTCCCTGAATTTTTAAGACATTTGTTCTCTCTTCCAATGTCTCTTTTCCCTCAGTGAAGACCACATACGATGCACGATTGGCTCTGGTAGTGACAGTAATTTGCACCCAGTATCCAGGAAATATTTGTTGATTGGGTTAAAATACAAAAGAGAATTCTAGTGTCTGGGGTCATTATTTGATATTAGGAAGTGGTTATAAATAAATGGTTTTCAAGGGAAAAAGAAGCTGAAACACAGTTTAGCTTTTAGAAGCGGCTCTGTCTTTCCTGCTGTTCCCCAACTTCATTTTTATAATGAGTGGCAGATGACTCTCACGTGCTCTAATATGGCATATTTAACTTGCTTGTATGTGGAGCTGCTCATGGATGAAAAAAAAACCCCAAATGATTTGTCATGAATTGCTACTTTAATTTGTAATTTGGCAGTAATTATGGATTATAAGTGGCTATATGTTTCCTCTTTTCTAAATAACGGAGTGATAATTTCTTATGATTAAGGACTGTTATAAACATGGGAACTAATTAGAAACCATCTCAGAACACAACAGAAAGCTTTAAAATAAGGGACAGGTTAATGACATGAGAATACAAGACATGTCACCTTAAATTTGTTTAAGTATCTTAAGTGATCAATCTGAAGAGCTTTAAAAAATATTTTTGCTTAGGTTCCATTTCAAATTTATTGACTCAAGACCTTTGGGATGGGGCCAGGCATCTCTGTTGTATTAAAAGATCACGCTTAAACTCACTCATGCTTATATCACTTTATTCCCTGTCGTAGCTTTGTTTTTGATGAAAAAGAAATGTTGGAAGAAAATGTCGTCACTAATGAAAGGGTCTTATTTGAGGTACAAAACCATCTCTGTAAGAGAAGGGATGATTTAGTGTTGCTTAGAGAAGTTGTCTATAGTATACCTGGTGTTTTACAGCAGTACACAATATTGTAATTGTCAAACTGTTGTCTTAATTTTGTATGTATTTTGCAGGTCTGCAAAAGATGATTTTACGTCTATTATCGGGAAATGTCAAGGTAAGAGGTTCCAAAATATATAAAAAATGAAAACTTCAAATCTGCAATAGTTTACAGTATTTCTTGAAAACCAGAATAGATATTAGATAAATATTTGTTAACCAGTATCATTATGACTTTTAAAATAATTTAAAAAATCTTAACTGATTTCTGTTATCACCTTAAACATTTTGCTTTAAGATGTGCATTTTGGAGAAGTTTGAAATTGAACCTTTTTAAAAAATCTAAGCCAGTTTCATGAGAAAGTATTCGTAAGTGCCTGTAGTCTTTTATTTTGAATTCAGTGCAGAAATATTTAGCTATAAGTCAAGAGTTGTTCAGATACAGACTATTAAAAAACATCTGAGATTTGATCATTCTTTGATATAGTCAGCAAAAATATACTGAGTGTCTTTATATTTCTGAAATGTTTTCTTGGGTACCATGTGTGTGATTGTGAGCAAACAGGCCTCTTCCCTTACCTCATACAGGCACTCAACTACATAATTATAAACTATGACATATCTGATGAAGAAAAAATATAGATACAGAGTAGAGTGAGAGTTTTTAACCAGGAGTGTGAGATGACATTGTTGAGGAAAAAATGACTTCTGGAAAGCAACCTTATGAGTAGAAAGAAGGTTGGAGATGCGGAGAGTGTTTTGATCTGCGTAGCAATGTATGAAAAGGTGGCTGGAAGCTTATAAATGAAAGATAATTAAGAGGTCGCTATTAGGTAAATGCTTCTATTACCTGTTTTATTTACAGGGCTTACCTGCAATTCTGTCTGACCCAGTGGTGGTTTAACAGTGTAGTAGTTGTAGGAATCATGATCCTGGTCGTTGTGAAGGTGACAGACATTTGCAGTGTCCTGTGTGCTGGGCACTGTATTCAGTGCTTTATATACATCTTCTCATTTAATTGGAAGATTATGATATATATATTTTATCTTAGAGCAGCATAAGATAAAATAAATATTTGACAGCGAAATGGAGCATGGAGAAGGGAGGCAGTGATAGTTTTGAAATCTGCAAAGTGACGGAGATACAGCCCATTCCCCAGACTCTCCGTGGAGACACACGCTGGTCTTAAGCTCTTTGTCAAATGCGTGTTTAGTGGCCTGGGGCCAGTTTCCTTCTACTTTTTTCATTCTTGGCCATCCTCATGTTTCGAGGAGATTAAAAATCAAATGTTTTAAAAGTGTCTTGAGTTCCCTATGAACGGTAATGTTAATTCTATTAGTATGTTGGAATCATTATTCTTAAACAATTCTGCATATACTGGTGGATAAGGTAGTGATAGTGGACTTATCTTTACACTTGGTGTATATTGTGACTTAGAAGCGAATGTAAAACTTCCTGCATATTTTGTGTACTCTGCTCTCTCCTTATCATGTCGCTCCTGCTCTGTTCCCTGGATGGCCAGCGGTACCTTTGTCTCTATCAATTCCAGGCATTTTCTCTGCTTTTGCCTCTCTCCCTTCCTTCTTTCTGTAACAAATACTTATTAAACTGGCACTGTCCTGGGCACTGTGTATGTACGCAGTGAGGAATGAGATACAAGCTACCTAGATGTCGGGTTTGTAGCTCCTCAGGAAAGAGAGCAATTTCATTGCAACTGTACCATGCGACACAATGGCGAAGCGTCACCTTTAACTTTTCCAGGTCTTGAGAATCTGTTTAAATGGCTCTTGCCTCCAGCTTCAGCCCTCACAGTCCCAGTTCAGGCTCTTAACATTTCTTGCTTGGTTTCTTGCAAAATTCTCCTGACAAGTTTTGCTTCTGTATGCTCTTCGCCAGTCTACACTTTGCGTTATTTGCCAGACTGATCTCTTAAAAGAGAATTCTATCAGGTTACCCCTCAGATACGGTTCCCTTCCTTTCTACCTAGGTAACCTTGGACAAGTTACTTTACCTCTCTGAGCCTCAATAATCTGTAACATGGGTCTCATTTTATAGATTGGGCTGTGCAAAAGTTATGTGAGCTAATATATGTAAAGTCCTTAGCGTGATGTGTGACACTTTCTAAGTACTTAGGAGACATAAAGCAACTGCTACTACTAGTATTATTCTGCCTATCATCTTTCAATTGTTCATCCACCATTGACTTCAAAATACAGTTTAGATTTTGTAATTCAGGACACAAGACCTTTCACAGTAAGGTCCCCTGCCATGTGTCCTCTGTCTTAGTACGGAGCAGCCTGCGGTTTCCCATCCCCGTCTTGTTTTCAGGCCATGGTACAGATACTTCCTTTTGCCTAGAAGCTCCCACGTCTTTATGTAATGAATTAGTCCTTCAGAATTTAGTTTGAACACCAGCTACTTTGGGAACCTTTTCCTCCCTGCCCTCTTCGCTGCCATTTGTACATCTTAATGTTTTCCCAGGACTTATTTGTACCTTTATTACACATTTGACCTAATCTACTTCCCTTTTTAAATTGTCAATTTGTTTGTCTGATTCACAATTAGACTGTAAATTCTTTTGAAGGTAGGGCTGTTGTCTTACTCAACTTTCTTTTTTATTCTTAGTGCCTAGCATGGTGTCTAATACCTAGTAGGCACACAAGTTTTGGTCCTATTACCTGGGTATTGGCACTCGAGAGCTATTAAACGTGATTTTTATGAATGAATGTATGAGTAAAGTACATTTGCCTATTTCTTGTGTTAATTTTGGGAATTTATATATATACACACACACACACACATAATATTTTGTTTATTATTCACATATAAACATATGGGTAATTGTCATGTTATTTGTTTTTTATTCCTAATGTACACAAATGTGGGTACGTACCATGTATGGAACAGTAAAGATAAGAAGTCTTGTTTGCTTAGTATCCTTTTGCAAATAATCGAAGAGGAGTAGTGTTTGTGTTTCTAAAGCTCAGGGCTCTAGCATTTTCTGAATTTACTTTTCATAGTTTTCTCACCAATGTTTATTAAAGTAGACCAGACCTGGGTTAAATAATATATAAGGATCAAAAAGTTCCTGGAAGAACAATTTGAAGATATTCAGTTGCCTTTTTCCTAGTGCTGCCTGCTTGTTGGGTGAGGGCTCGGGGCGCCTTCTGTGGGCTTCTGAGAAGGATGCCGAGAATGCCCAGGTTCAGACACGCAGGGGCCTTTGAGCTTTGCCATTAGACACCTGCTCTTAGACAGAAAGTAATGAGAAATCTACAAGTTAACATGAAAGTGGTAAGCTTAACCCCTCTGTATTTCACACAGATTATAGTATTTGTTAGGTTTTAGTGTGTACAGTTAATGTGGCAGCATGGATGAGGTGATAATGCTTTGAGAACTAATGTTTTATTTTGTTGACTTCTGAATGTGTGAATTTATGACCTTAATGCTGCATTAATAGCTTCTTTCCATTTCATATAATGTGAGGTAATGATCATTTGCTTATTATCTGCTTCATCTTTATGGGAATAATTCTCATATGCCAAATGATATTTCATGTGTATGCCCGGAGAAATGCAGCCAGATTGTTGTTAATGCAATTTGAAACTGCATATTGCAGAGTCTGCAAACAGAAATAGGAGCTATTTGGTTCCACTTTGATATTTTTCAATTATTGTTTTATAAAATGAATGCCATTTGAGAATGTTTTCAGTGTGGATCGCAACTCGTTTTGGCTCTGCTTGCCTGCTCGTAAAGAGTAATTCAGTTTTCTCCATCTTGAAGAGTGACCTAAAACTAGAACACGGAATTAGACTTTTTTTAAAGCTGTACTGTGTCAATCAAGAGATTTTCCTCATTTCTGATTTTGAGATACCATAAACCAGAGCGGCAGCTCGCCTGATGCTGAGCCGCAGCTCGCCCGTTGTCAGCGTGCCCAGGTCCCGTCAGCCCTCCATTGGCCCCAGAGCCCTGTGACAGCCCGGCTCAGACTGGTTGCCTCCAGTTTCCAGCAAGCTTGTTCATTTACCATTAGGTGCCATACAAAACATGATTTTCTCTGTGTCTGGATGTGAGAAAGGTTGGGAAGCAAAGACTGTTTGAAGCACCAGGATTTTGAAGCAAGGTGGGAAGAGCCATCATTAGGCCTTTGTGCAGATGACCTCTGTGTTCATGGCGATACTGGCCTGTAGATTTTTTTTTAATGCTTTTCTGGTTTGGTACTGGAGTAATGCTGATCTCAAAATCTGAGTTAGAAGTGTTCTTTTTTGTTTTAGCAGAAGTTTGTGTAGAATTTGAATTATTTGCTTCTTAAATGTTCAATAGAATTCACCCGTGAATTTTCGAGTACATTTTGAATTCCTAATTAGAAATTTAAAATAGAAAGTGTTTTAAAATTTTATTTTCCTCTTGTTTCAGGTTTTTTTTGGTGGAATTTTCTTCTAAATCATAGGCTATATTGGCTTAAAGTTGTTTAAAATGTTCCCTTATTGTCCTTTCGCTGTCTGCCAGATCTGTACTCACGTTTCTTCTTTCGTTCTTGATATTGGTAGTTTGTGTTCTCTTTCTTTTCTCTCGAGCAGTCAGGCCAGAGTATTATTAATTTACTCTTCAATAAGAAAAATTTAGGTTTTGATTCCTTTTCTGTTTTATTTGATTTTTGCTTTTATCTTTTTCTTTCCTTCTGCTTACTAGGTTTAATTCGCTTTTATTTTCTAGATGAAAAATAGACGTTTAGGTCATTGATTTTTAAACTTTTCTTTTCTTATGTAAGTATTTAAGTCTCTTCTACTATAAGCATCTTTTTGTTGTTGATATCTAATTTAATTCTGTAGTGGTCAGAGAACATATATAACATGGTTTTAATCTTTTAAATTAATTGAGTCTTGATTATGGCCCAGTGTATGGTCTGTCTTCATGAACCAATTCTTTGAAAATAATTCGATTAAAAGAATTTAAAATAATTTGATTTTTGGGTATGGTGCAGTTATTGTGTATAGTGTTTTATAAATGTCAGTTCTATTGAGTTGGGTGTTAGAACTGTTCAGAATTTCATCTTTATTGATTTTTCTCTCTGATCTATCAATTACAAGGAGAGGTGGGTTGTAATTTCCAGTTATAATTGTGTATTTATTTTATCTGTTAGTTCTGTCAGTCTTTGTGTGTTTAGAAGCTCTAATTTTTAGGTATATACATGTATTATTTTGTCTTCTTGTTGAAATGGGCTTCTTTGCCCTGATGAAATGTCCCTTTTTATATATAGTAATACTCCTGTCCTGGAGTCTATTTTGTTTAATTTTAATGTGGTCACTAACTTTGTTAATGATTAGTATTTGCATGACATACCTTTTTTCTCCTGTTGCATTTAATCTGTGTATTGATATTTAATGTAAATCACTCATTGAAAGCATATAACTGAATCTTGCTTTTTTTTTCAGTCTGACAGTTTTTGTCATTTAATTGGAGAGTTTAGAACATTTATATTTAATGCAATTATTGGTCTGGCTAGGTTTAATTTTACCTTCTTGCTATTTGCTGTTGTTTATCTTGTCTGTTTCCTTTCAGCGTTTGCTCTAGGGTTAACAATATGCGTTTAAAAGTTATTACACAGTAACACAGTATACCTCCATTCACTCCTATTCTTTTGTGTTACTGTCAGTTATTTTACATATGTTAAACCCCCATGATATGTTGTTATTTTTTGTCAAGTTACTTTTTAAGAATTTGCAAAACAAGAACGAATATATTTACATTAACCTCTTTTCTGTTCTGTCACTATTTCTTTGTGTGAAACTGACTTTCCATTTGATAGTGTTTGCTTCAACTCGAAAAACTTATTTAACATTTCTGGTAATGCAAGTCTGTTGATAACAAATTCTGTCAATACTTGTTTGTCTGAAGCCATCTTTGATTTTGTCTTCATTTTTGTAAAATATTTTCTCTGGGTATAGAATTTTAGGTTGACCTCCCCCCCATCCCCTTCAACTCCTTAAAGATGTCATTGCATTGTTTGTTTTTGATGGGAAATCAATCATTACTATGATTGTTTTTCTGTATATAATCTTCTAATTGTGTGATTGACTCAGAACAGTTCTTGATTCACCTGTCTAAATATATATCATATTTTGTGCATGTGTATTCTAATCCTTTCTATTTCTGTGGCATCTATATTTGATATATGTAAAAGCTCTCAGTTGAAATTTTCATTTTTTGCTTTAGAGGAGATGAACTCATTAGATTGGAATTATTTTATGCCCATTCTCTATGCTTTTGATCTCTTAATTTCCTAAGTATTTTGAGGTATGTTATTCCTGAGCCGTTACCTCACTCGGGCATGCTCAGCATTCAGCAGACCACTGGCGTCAGTAGGCTTTGCTTCTCAAGGGAGTGGGCAGGGCTTGGCTTTGGTATATATTTCCCTACTCTTACTTGAAGTGATTTCTGGGGACTGTTCTTTTCTATTGAACTGAAGTGTTAGAGATTGTTAGGAGGTGATGTAATGTAGTTGAATTCTCACTTTAGTTGCAGTAACTATAGGTGTTAGTTATCTTTATAACATGTTGCTAAAAGCACTTCTTCTCTTTTCATTCTAGTTCCCAAAGACCCCAAACCTCAGTGGAGACGTGTAGCGTGGAGTTATGATTGTACCCTGCTGGCCTGTGCAGAAAGCACAGGAACCGTGAGGGTGTTTGATCTCATGGGAAGTGAACTCTTTGTTATTGCCCCGGTATGTATGTGCCTTCAACTGATAACATACTTGTTTGAGAGCCTTTTATGTCTACGTACTCGAGAGAATGAATGTGAAGAGAGGGAGATGATAAATACAAATCTGAACAATAAGTCGTGAACTTAAGAACCTAGTTGGATATCTGTACGTGAAGTAATTTATTCTTGGTATTTTGTAATGCAGTATCCAGATGTAATCCACCATTTTTAAAACATGGTAGTAAATGCTAAGCAGAGATGCTGAAAACTGTTATAAAGTTCCTGTGAGGTAAAGAAAGTCAGTGGGCTGTCACAGCAGGAACCGCTTCGAGAAGAGTTCAGATTTGTTACCCTAAACAGAGACTGGAGAAAAAAACTAATGGTCATAATGACTTGTATTTGTATAGTGCTTTATACTTTATTAATGACTTTGATTTAGTGCATTTTTATTTAATATTCACAACAAGCCTTTGAGTAGATTCAGTAGATATTATCCTCATTTTACAGTTTAGAAAACTGGAATTGAGAGTGAGTAAAATGACCTTTTCCATGGCAGTCAAGTTCATAAGTGTCTCTTTTGGGAATCCAGTGCTTTTTACTTTGCATCCTTTTCCCTCAAGTGGACAAGGTACAGGGCCAGGTAGAACAGTGGTTCTAACTGGGCTGCATCTTAGAATCACCTGCATCTTAGAATCACAGCTTTATAAAGAACAAAAACAAAAACAAAATAAATTAACTGGATTGCCCAGGTTCCACCCCCAGAAATTCTGCTTTAATTCATCTGTGTGGGCTTTGGGTATTGATGTTTTTTTCAGCTGATTAAAATTTTTCCCCCTGATTTCTTTAAATTAAAAATTATTGGGGTGACATTGATCAACAGAATCTAGTAAGTGTCAAGTGTACAGTTCAACAGTATGTCGTGTATATTTTGCATTGTGTGTCCACTACCCAAAGTTAGAGTTCTTTCTGTCACCACTTATTGATTAAAAACTTAATAAAGTTTTTCTGCTGATTCTAATGAGAAGCTAGGGATGAGAACCAATGATCTACAGAATGATTTTTATTCAGATATAACGAGTGGAAAAACTTGAAAAAGTATGTTGGGCTCTTATTACAGAAGTCCTGGGGAACCAAACTAAGATGTTTGTGTTACTGTTTGCTAGGTCAGCGCTGTGTGATAGAAATGTGACAACTATATACAGGATCACACACATAATTTTAAGTTTTTTAGTGGTTGCATTAAGAAGACTTGAAAGAAACAGGCGATATTTATTTAACATATTTTATTTCAATAAATCCTAAATATTTCAACATGTAATCAGTGTAAAAATTATTAATAAGATATTTTACTTTCTTTGGTACAGTTGTTTTTGAAATTTTGTGTCTCTTTTTATTTACAGTATACCTCAGTTTGGGCTAGCCATGTATCAGGAGTTCAGTAGCCATATGCGACTACAGTATTTTACTGCATGGTTCTAGTAATGAGTGACCATTCGAGATGATAAACTTTATTATGTGTACTTCACAAGGTTCACATGCCTTCAGGTCCTTAGCAATATAACATGATACTTAGTTGACGGAAACAGTGTGGCTTGGAGTAAGTGTTTTTAAGAATTCTTTCCTTTAAGTTGCTGATTGGAAATGGAAAAGTAACTGGAGACTTTTTTTTAGCATAGGTTACTGCTGGCAGCAGAAATCAACATTTGAAGGCTTATATCTGAATTCTGGCTGAATGATAGCATTACTTTTTTTTTTTTTTTTTTGCAATGGAAGTACAGTCTAGTCATAAATTCACTTATCTAGGTGAATTTCTCATCCTGAGAAGCTGCTGTGGTTCCAGCTTATGACGTGGAGAGCTGGTCTAGACTTCAGTTCTAGGCATGCTGATTTGCATGATTTTTCAGTATGCAGATCAGTTCTGGGGCTGTCTTAGTTAGAATGCGAGTTTTAAGGCCAAGGTCTCATATGTCTTTCAGTTATACGTATGTTAACATCTTTTAATAACTTAATTTCTCCCTCTTCTACAGGCATCTAATTTAGCTGGTGATTTGAGCTATGCCATTGCCGGGTTGATATTTTTAGAGTATAAGGCAAGTGCACAGTGGTCTGCAGAACTCTTAGTCATCAATTACCGAGGAGAACTTAGGAGTTACCTTGTAAGGTAATAACCTACTTTATTTAGGAAGACCTATTTGAAATAATGTTTGTTCCTCTGGTTTAGTGTCAGATTTTTTTTTTTCACAGAATTTTATTATGAAAAATTGCCAATATAATAGGAGGGTTGAAAAAATTGTGAAATAAAGACTCTTATACCTTTACTTAAATTCTATTAGCGTTTTACTAAACTTGCTATGTCACATTTCTATCCATCCCTCTATCCAGCCATTAATCAGTCTTATTTTTAAATGAATTTCAGAGTCAGGACCGAGCTACTTTAGCATGCATATCATTAATTAAAGTTCAATACTTGCTTATAGTTTTCTTTCTTTTGACATAAAATTCGCATACAGCGGAATGCACAGATCTTAAGTGTACCAGCCAGCGAGTTCAAATGCATACAGTTGTATAAACCAAACCCCTCTGAAGATACAGATCCATGCCGTCATGCTAGAAAGTCCCCTCATGTCCCTTTCTGGCAAATCTCTGTTGCTCACCCCGAGAGCAACTGCTGTTTATACTTTTCTATCATAGATTAGTTTTGCCGACTGTAGTAACTCACATTAACGGACTCCTGTGTACTCTTTTGTCTGTGTCTTTTTTCATTCAGCATATTTTGAGATTCATCCATGTTTTGATGTGTACCAGTAGTTTATTCCATTTTATTGCTGATTAGTATTTCCTTGTATGACTGTCTCACATGTCTTGGTGTGGGTTTCTAGAACAAAATACCATGAACTGTGGCTTATCAGCAACAGAAGTTTGTTTCTCACAGTTCTGGCGGCCGGAAGTCTGAGTTTAGGGCGCCAGGTTGGTGGGTTCCGGGGAGAATCCTCTTCTGCCTCGCAGACTCCTCCTTGTGTCCCCACATGGTGGAGAGAGCGAGCTCTCTGGCCTTATAGGGGCACTGAGCCCATTTGTGAGGGCTCTGTCTTTATTACTGCATCACCTCCCAAAGACCCCGCCTCCAGACACCATCACATTAGCATTAGGGTTGTAACGGATGAGTTTTGGGGAGGATACAAACATTCAATCCATGGGTGGGTGGGGGGGCACAAACATTCAGTCCATAACATTCGTGATTTATCATTCATCTATCGATGGACTTCTGAGTTTCTGGTTTGAGGCTCTTGTGAATAAAACTCTAGGATCATTCTTGTATAGGTCTTTAGGGATATACATTTCCATTTCTGTCAGGTCAATATCTTTGAGTGGAATGCTGAGTTATAGGGTATAGTTTATTTTTATAAGTAACTGCTAGACCTTTTTCTAAAGTTTGCATATCATTCACATTCTCACTATAAAGTCTCAGAGTTCTGGTGGTTTTACATCCTCACAGTATTTGGTGTTATCTGTCTTTTAAGTTAAAGAAATGTTAGTGGGTATTTAGTGATCTTATTGTGGTTTAAAGGTATTTATTATTTATTTTTTACCTTAAATTTAGTGTTGGAACAAATCAGAGCTATCGAGAGAGTCACTGCTTCAACTTTGGTAGCCATTATGCTCATGGGATCAACACAGCTGTCTACCATCCTGGCTACAGGTGAGCTGCCACTCGTTCTCATATTTGGAGGAGTATGGGGTGGAAATGTTGGCACGATTTTATAGAGAAGAGGTTGTCCATTCTGATTCTTATTTTGGCTTCATTCCCTCCTCTTGTGCGTGGTTATCTTAAATCTCTCTGATCCTGTCGTAGTCATCTTCTGAACCTTCCTGCTCATCTGTGCAGCTGCCTGGGCTCTGAGCCAGGTGGGGCACCGAGAATGTTCACTGAGGAATTTCTTTTTACTCTCCAAATCTTATTCTTCTCATCTGTGAAATGGGTATAATACCTAACTCTTATCATTGCTGAGAGAACTCATACTGTGTATAAAGCGCTCGTGCACAGAAGACATTGCTGATTCCCTCTTTCCTTTCTCGTGAGTAGGGCGGCATTGATTGTTCCACAGTTGCTTCTTGTAGATATAGTCTAGTCTTCATGTATGCCACTGCCCTCTCTATTTACCATGTCACCTGAGGGTTACTTGAAACTTTGGGCATTTTCTACATCCCGTGATTTCTTCCCTTTAATTTTGTTATTCAAGAATAAAGTTTATACATCTTTTATATGTTGACCAAGCTTTTTGGTTCTCTAAATGGGAAGAATATCGAATTGTGAGCCAGACAAACCTAGCTTGAGTTCTGAGTTTTGAGACCTACTCTGTGTCTATTTGCAAGTCCTTAAACTTTCTGATTCTCAACGTACTTAAGATTTTTTGATTGACAATATAAGCAGGTTTTGTGTGCTGTTCAACGATAGGTCTGTCCTTGTTTTTTTGTTCAGAATTTTATTTTTATGAAATTTTTATACTACAAAAGAACAGTCCCCCCCGACTCACACCCACATCCATACCACCCCCCACACTGAAAACTCCTTAGTTTTCTTTCCTCATCTCATTCCCTCGGTCTTCCTAGAGATAACCGCTGTCCTGAATTTTGTAATTTCTTGCTTTCTTTATATTTTTACTACTTCGTATTTAGTTTTACCGTTTGACTTTATATGAATGGAATTACACAGAAGACATACCAGTCTAACTTTGAGACTTGCTTTTTGATGTAATTTCTCTAGTTCATTTTTAATTTCCAGTAGTATATTTATTTTATGAATTTATGCAGCATATTTATTCATTCTCCTGTAGATGAGAATTTGGTTCATTTCCTCGTTTTTTGGTTATGAAAATAGTACTGTGGCAAAATGTATTGTGCATTCCTCTGCTATGTATGTGCAAGAGTTTCTGCAGGGTATGTAACTAGGAATGAAATTGTTGAATTGTTGATTAAGTACCTCTTAAACTTAACTAGGAAATGCAGATATTTTCCAGAATAGTTCTAGTTCTAGAAGTTTACAGATTCATCAGCAGTGTATGAACGGTTCTGTTGTCTTGCATTCGTATTAGCACTCTTGATGACCTCAGATTTCTAAATATTTGCTGATCTGGTATAAAGAATATCTCATTGTGGTTTTAATTTGCATTTCCTCGATTACTGTTAAGGGGCTCATCAACCGATGAGCTTGAGCAGCTTTTCGTGTTATTGGCCATTCATGATGTGCTTTTTATGAAATGCTGTTTAATATAATAAATGCTTTTTCATATAATTTCTTTTTATTGGATATTTGGTCTTGACATTCTTTATATTATTTGGGTATTAAATTCTGGTTTGATTATACGTATGATGAGTATCTTCTCTCAATATGTGACTTGTCCTTTTTTTCTTGTAATTTACCTTTTAAAAAGGTTATGTCTGCATGAAGTTCTAAGAGTTAAATAGTTTGAAAAACGGACCCTCCACCAATTTCTTGCTTTCCAGAGATAGCCACTTTTAGCTATTTTAGTTGATTCTTCGGCTGTTTTCATACATATAAGTTAAATTATTATGTTGTTACTTCTTTATTTCCCTTTTATGGAAGATGTGTGTTTAGTTTTCTTACCCAGTCTAACACACACATGCGTGCACACACGCGCACACACACACACACACACACACACACAGCCTTCTCTCATTCTCTGATTTTGTGGGGCGACTATTACTGTGGTTATGTGGGTGCTGTTCACAAGCAAGACAAGAAGCCTCTGTAGCATTGTGTGATGGCCTTTCCATCCTTAGTCACTCATTCATTTATTCAGTAAACATTCATTCATTTCCTGTTCTTTGCCACACACGGTTCAAGGTGCTTGTTATATACCTCATGGAACTTATTTGTAGAGGGAGTGACAGCAAACGGTGAACAGAAAGTACGTGAAGAACTGAAGTGCTGTGGGGAAAAATGATGAGGAGCTATGGACAGAGTGGATCAGGGTGGGAGAGTAGGGAACAGGTGGTAATATTAAAAAGGGTAGGTAGCCAGGTTACCCTCGCTGAGAAAGTGACATTTGTGCGAAGACCTGCAGGAGGCGAGGCTATTAGTTATTTGGATACCTGGGAGAAGGGTGTTCTCTGCAGAGGTAGTAGCCAAAGCAAGATGGGTTGGGCGAATGCTGGGCATTTCTAGAAAGAGCATAGAGGCCAGTTTGATTGAAGTAGAGTGAGAGGTAGGATAATACGCCGATGTCAGAGAGAGCAATGTGAGTGCCGAATCAGGTAGGGGCTTCGTGGGCTGTAGGAAGACCTACCTGAGAGCTTCTCACCTGTATGTATTTATTCTTATAGTTATTAATTCTTTTTTATTCGATTTGCCAAATTTTTAAATACAATTATTATAGATTTAACCCTAACCTCACTTCCCCCCGCCTCCCCCACTGGTGAATATCTCCTTTTAGTTCATCATGCACAGCAGGTATTCTGTAAGTTTCATCTCCTCGAAGAAATCCTTCTCGGAACTGCTCCAGGTTGAATCGCACCTGCACATAGCTATTTCCCTGGAATTTCACTTCACCGTCATCCTGAGGATCGCTTTTCATCTTTCGTTGCATCGCTTATTTCCTGGATCCCATGCTTTTTTCTTTCTTGCTTTAACTGTTTTGGTAAACTTCTCTAACTTCTTGAAGTGTACAGGCCTTGCAAGTTTGAACATGGCTCTTTTCTATCTTCATGCTTAATCGATAATTTGGCTGGACAGAATCATAGGTTGGAAATAATTTTCCCTTAGAATTTTGAAGGTGTTGCTCCATTGCCTTCTAGCTTCTTGTGTTGCTCTTGAGAATTCTAACACCACTCTAGGATAAAAACCCATTTTTCTTTTTCTCTTTTTTTGTCCTCCTCCTCTCTGGGAGCTAAGAGTTTACATTTTTAACTTTAGTGTTATGAAATATGACCATGTTATGTCTTGGAGTAGTTTTTTTTTTTTTTTTTTTTTTTTTTAATATATCCACGGTGTTGGCCCTTCCTTCAGTTTGGATACTTTTGGGAAAATTTATTGAATCATTCTTTTGATTATTTCTTCCCCTCTGTTTTTTCTTTTCCCTCTGAGATGTCTGTTATGTAGATGAGTCTCCTGGATAACCTTTAATTCTCTTTTTTTCCCTTTGCTTTTGTTGAAGAAGGGAAGTAAGATTAATTTTTTAGTGTAAATGTGTATAACGAAGAAAGTTTGAAGCACTTTTGAGCTCTCTTATAAATATAATGAATTAATGATACATATGGTCCCATTTAGAAAAAAATTGTGTTCTGGTTAATTTTTTCTGATGTATTTTTTTATTCTTCTGTGCCTTATCTTTTTTAAAAGTAGTCATTGTGTTTTTGTTTCAATTGTTATAAATCTCATTTCTAGAAGTTCTCTGTATTTATTTTAAGAATCTCTTAAGAAGGGAGAAAAGGGAGTTGAAAGGAGTGGTCTGTGAGCCACTAGTTGTTCTGAGGATTAAATACATAGTAGGTATTTAGGTATTTAGGAAAAAAACAGTGGTGAATAAATAAAATACTATTGCTTTCTTCCTTTGGATTCATGTGACTTCTGTCTTGAAGAATCAGTGGTATATCCGTAAGAAATTTGAAAATCTGTTTCAAGCTTAGTCAACTTAAAAAATTGGAAATTAATGTGTTAAATACAATAAACCTGAATTGATAATAGATGTGCGTTTTATTTGGGACGTAGCTGAGTGATCACGTGCAAAGTTAGATGTCTTTATATTTTATAAAGTTGAATGTAATTGTATATTTTACAAATTACAGACATTCTTAAATCAAAATATTTCCATTATAAAATAGATCATTACAAGAATGAGAAAATTATGTTGTTTTTGTTTTATTCTTGACACTTGTATGAAGTATAGGTTTTTAATGTTCACCATTACATTTTAGTTATATATATATTTTTTGCGTAGCTCACGTTGTCTTGAATTTAAATTTTGCCACTAGAAAGGGGGATAGAATGTGTTTTGCTTTGACATGCTCAGCTCTTCATTGTGAGTTTTACCAAACTTAGTGCATATATTGCACCTCTGACACTGCTTATTAGTTTGATTTTGTTGAGGGTGACATATTTATATTCACATCTTTGATTCCATGTTTTATTGTGTTTAAGCAAGGTTTTACTCTGTTCTTTTAAGGCCTCTTTTAGTTTATTCAACTTGATTTTTTAAGGCGTAGGTCTTAATACCTTTCTCAGCACATGCGTGCACACACACGCATATTTAAAACATTTAATTTATTGTCCCTTAAAAAGTATATAGGTTTTGTTGGAGAAATTGTCTGTATTAGGAAGATTGATGAGGTATAAAGTCTATTCTACCTTTGGTTGGCCTGCTTCCCATTACTCTCATTTACTGTGGCTCGCTTTGTGCACCACACCGTGTTGGGTGTTGTGGAGGATGTAAAGGAGGAGGGCAGTTCTGACCTTGAGGTCTCAAATTCTTAAGTGGAAAATAATATATACATATATTATAGACAGGCATCTATATATCTCTAATGTACATTTCCAATGTCTAATACACTTTTCTCTGTTTAAATGTGTGTGTGTGTGTAAACTGGGATGCAAGCTAGAGAGAAGGGAGGACCTTAAAAGGGTACAGGTGTAGTGATGTGGGGATCCAAGTAAGGGAGCTATTCCTTCCCCGAAGGATCAGG